CTCTTCTGGGTTACCTCGTAGGCTCATCCTCCTTCAAAACTTCAACATATCATCCATTAAAATTGCCCCCCATTCTTGGAGAATCTACCAGCGGTGGCCATCATTAATTCCATTTTTCGAAAGTCCATGTCCTACATCTCTCAATACCTACCATGCCCATACTCGCACCCCTGCCCCCTGGTCTCATATATCACGTTTCCCTCTTATAACCTTTCCATCTTCTTTGCTGATTTCAAGCCACAATGTTCCCAAAGAGCTCTCTTACTTTCTCAACATCCTATATACCCATTAAAACGCTTTTGAGACAAGCCAATTTAGTGAGTCAAAAAGTCACGTTCAACCAATGAGCCTTCACACAATTTTCAACTAAGATTTTTAGAACAAGAAGAAGGTCCAGAGATATACTGGCCGGGGTAAAACCTTCCCAAGTGGAATGTCCTAACCCTGTTACTTGGGCAAAACTTAACTTCGTATACATTAGTTGATGATTCACTATGGCTAGTGCTACTCCTGGACGAACCACCGGCAACGGACAGGACACTTGCAAATCTATAAAAGCAAGGTTTAACTCACGATGTAACAATGAAGTGTCACCCTTTTTTTTTTTTCGCTTTCTTCCAGCAAATGGTCTCCAACCTCAGTGGTGTGAGCCATCTGCCACTTCGCAAGAAATTATAGCTTGGGCTTGACGAGACATTTTTTCAACATAGAGCTAAAAGTCAGCAGGTATGTAATTTGACACAATGGCTCCCAGGTGCGCCATGCCATGCGAACAGCGGGGGAAACCTGTGACTATTTTTGTCACTTCAAAATGTTAATCTATCAACATCAGATCAATAAGACTGGGAATACAAAACAGGCTAAATGACTTGCCTCATACTCAGCATTCACTAACTATCTCATACTACCGTCAAAGCTAACAACCAAATTATGTAACTGTATATACCCAAATCTATAGCACTATCCCAAGTAAATGAAAGACATGGTTGTAATCTCCAGAACCACTGGAGTTAACAATCAGAGAGAGCCATAATAACCACCAAGGTAGTCCGGATAGAAATCCGCATCAACACCATGATCCCGGCTGTACGCACTTTTACAGAATAAGAGAATCCCCTTAAATAAATGTAGCTATAACCCAGCACACCCGAAAGTGCGCAGATAAAAACTTATACTGAAGCGGCCAGTTCTAGCGCGGCTCCTCCCTCGCCGTCATCATAAGTTCTCCTTCTCCTGACTAGCAATGCATTTGCAGTGAGGTACGCGAACATTTTTGTGCGTTTGTGCTGTACATTTCAGGGTTCGCTCCATTTGTGCAGGCATAAATCACTATTTCCTCAACAGCCTTACTATTATTTTAGCCTGCTCCGCATCATACCATACTGAAGAGAAATGATATTTAAGTTGTGGACACAGGGTAAAATATTTTCTTACATATTTTCAACTGTGAACCATGATTCACTATCATAGTTTGCCATGCAATTTCGTTTTTGGGTTTCCTGTGCAGAAAATAAGATCACTACTGTTTCATCTCGTCCTGTATGACGCAAGTTTTGTTTCCTTGTGTGCATGAGTGAAATATTATCTGCTTATTGCATTGAGTTTCGCAAACAAATCCGTCACATTCCTCTATCTGAAGTGTATGCACGTCTTGTGGTTCAATTACGTGCACCAATGTCACATTAGTCCATTGAAAGGTCTTCAATAATAATCCAGTATAGTTTTTTGGAATAACTTGTAAAACTGCAAGAAAACCCAACCATTGCTACAATGCCTGACAGCTATTTTACTCAAACTGTTAGCTAACCTGTTGGTTGCTTATATATTCAGGTATTGGAAACCTTCTCGCCACATTCGTTCCCCATCATCTGTTATTTCAACTAGAATATCATTTGCGTCGAATTGGAGCCAAAGGACCCCTATGTTCATTTATCTCTGGCTTCATGGACCTGTACAGTTGTCCGTTGTATCAGTTAATTTCATCACATTTTTTACCGTGTAATTACGGAAAGGGTACTAACTCTTAAACCTCCTCAAATCCATGTATCGTTAGCCCCATCCCCACGACTTAGAAATGATCTGCATGTTGCTGTTGACATGAGTTGGGTTGTCATCACCTCCTAGCACACAAGAAAATAGACAATTAATGCTGATGATACATTTAAAGCAGTACTGGACTTGACTCATCTGACTGATCCTAGTGGGATTGCGGCTGGCAAAGATGTTCACAACTGATCCTTGGAAAAAATGAATGTCCTAGCAAAACACCGAAAATCCAGAATATATCGTTTGAATTCAAATTCCATGTCATATCCATTGGCAGTGTAACCCAGGCGAAGATGATTGCTTTCGTACACCTGGTCATTATTTCACTAGAATAGGTAGCGGCAGATCTGTGCTACATGTCAGTTTGACAATGTCTCCATAATTCCAATCTCAACTCCAGTGGCTAAGTCTGGTGTATCATCCTCAACACATTCAAGCCTACATAAATAATGCTATAAATCTAGAACCTAGTTCAGGTCTATTCCTACATGCAATTGGGGTTTTTGTACACACAAAACAGATCTTGCCAATTGGCTCGGTTGAGTGGAAAAGCAATTTCACTGAGGCAAGGTATTATCCCTTATCCAATGGGCAAAATGTCCAATCACTGATAATTATGTAACCTCATGAAAAAGGGGGGAAGAGAAAGATGGCCAAACTGAGATTTAAAACATTCGAAAAGCTTATATACTCCATTAGTATGTTACACAGCATCTATACGTTTGGTAGCTAATATCGATAATCTACTTAAGAAGTTGGATGGGGTTATGAATGATGCACGTATGAGCCCATGCACTGGTCCTGTGAGCAGGTGTTGCTGGTAGGCTTAGCTTGGTATTCTCTAGGTGTTTGCAAGTGAGATTTTACCTGCGCCACCTTACAAAAGATCTATTATAGTGCCTAGATGGCACTCGGCACACAATAGTAAACTTGCCTTCAGAGTATACATCTTTACATTCAAGGTCTTGAGGTCTTGTATCATCTTCTGTAACTGCAAAAGAATAAATGCATGTAGCTAACACATTACTTTCTTACAACAATTCCACCTTTAGTCGAACAGGATAACATTGTAGACACAAAAAGTATAGCTCAGTGCTTAAACACTTTCTAGTCGGAAGCTGGTCTATTTTAAGTCAACAAAATTATGCACACTTTTAACTGGGATGAACTCTCCAAAGCAATGTTTGTCTGTATTGACAGTTATAACGAAAGGAGCTTCAATCCCAACATTCCTATATATTACAGTTGATTTCTCCACTCAAAAAACTTATACTTTTGAAGTTTAATAACTTACATATTTGAAGGTTAAAAACCATCACCTCACTAAACCTTCCATGGCAATCAAAATCAAAGCAGAAAATAGAAACAATAGTTCCATTCTCAACGCCACTAGCTTGAAGAGTGACTGGTCCGTCAATTGCCACAGAGTTACAAAGAGATGTGTAGATTTTACCATTTCCACATGGATGCTGAAAGCATTCATTTGTCCCTCTTGAATTTACACATATGCTGTAGTTGATGACAAAACCATTGAAGTCGCAGTATTCATTGGAGAGATCTTCTATTATAGTTCCCGCAAAATTACTTGGAACATATTTGCCATCTGCAGAAACACGGCAATGATTTCAGTTTTAAGAAAGTTAATAATTTATTAGCTAACCTGTAGGTTTCATGTTAGGTATGTAAATATTTATTTTTCCACAGAAATCACATTCATAATCTATCTCAACTGTGACATCATGATCATAAAACATCTCCACAGAGTCAAATGTAGCTATTATGCTACTCTCTGTAGCCGGTACCTCAATTACTTCATTTCCATCACCAGTATCATCACATCGTGAAATGGAAATCAGTAGTTTGCAGTTGTCACCAGTAGGTACACTGCCTATATGAATCCTAGAGACCTCCATATCATTAGCAAATGTTGCACTTGCTTGTTCACATATCGGAGTGACACCTACACAGGATAGGCAGTTAGCTAATGGGGAGTGTATTACACCATGCATCAACTACAGTGTTATCAACATTATTTTCGCTCATTATTGCTTGGATTGATCAATAGCCAAATGAAGTATTGCATTTCCCATGAAAAGCACCAAAACCTTCAGGGCAAGTACGGGTGCACGTTCATCTGCATGCGCACAAAACACCTCGGTGTGGTTAATGTAAGCCACACCCATCACTATTTGTTTTTTAATAGCATTTAGAGCAACACTGAACAGGGTATATACTACGGTATGGCCTAGGAAATACATCCCAGGCCAAAGAATCGTATAACTCCATGATGCGCTTAAGGGCTGATTTTGCCTAGATAACTAGATGGCTTTGCTTGTTGTCACACCATAATCGTAACGCAGTCGTTTCAGGAATATCGCCTTTCATTATACAGTCTGTTATAAATTATAGAAGCTGTTGGTACAGCTCATAGGCCGCCACGAGCTTGTAGTGCCAGAATGGCTGCAGACAAGAAACACACTGACACACACGCTAGACAAAAGTACTGCCAATGTAGCTACGCTGAGGGTTAGCTAACCTACAGCAACTCACCACGACGTCGTCGTCCACTACTGTCCATTGGTGTTATTATTACAGCCATGTTGCTGAAAATTTTAATAATTTCTATGTCAACTCTTAACCGAAAAGTACAGCGAATCATGTATGTTTCAGGCCGTGTTCCATTGTATATCAAAATATGAAATCCACGTCTACTAAAAGTATCAGGAAGGGATCCTTCGTTGACCTCCCACTGCGGAGTCTCATACTCTGTATTACAAGTAAATTCCATCGTCTTCCCCAGTGATACATTGAAAGAACCACCAGGACTGAGTTCAATAAGGGTAGTTTCAGTACATCCAGAGGCTGCAAAAACGTAAAAGGTCTCACAGAAAAGTTTGTAGCTTAGTTCAGCTAGGGGGAATCTTTGAACTACGGGGGTCAATGATGAGAGAGCGCTCGTAGTGAGAGCCTGGGGACGCTGTACGACGCGCTTATGACCATGAAGATTAAAAGTGCGCTCCACAGAAACTTACTTGGGGGCCTGTAGGAACGCAAAAGCGATCCAATGCAAGAGCGATCCGAAAGGAATGAGGCCGTACGGCCAATATACAATCACTTTTTCGTTCCTACAGGGGCCCGACAGAGCAGGAACGCGACACATCCAATGAAGCCAAGCCACAAATCAAAAACAGCATGCATGCAGATCCTATGCCTAAAGAGTTCGCTGGCGCGTTTTGCAGCTAGCTAGGTAGGTCAATAGCTGCAAATCTCTGCTATGATTTCAGCTAGTTTTCCAAACTTACTTACATATTTCTGCAAATGCAAAAACGAACAACACGGATACAGCAACCAAAGAAGTCATCTTCTTTATCTTGTGCTAGAAGACACATCAATAACAAATAAGTCGTTGGTTTGCCAGCCACACCCATCGCTTACTCCCACGTCAATTGGTGTGTAGTTGGCGGATTGCTCCGCGAGGCCCGTGCGGGCCCCGAGTGCTTGCACATTACCTAGTGCTTTTCCAGCAGTTTCCAAGACAAAATTTCTAGCATGCTCCCTTTCTACACTGATGTCAGCAGTAGTTGGCTATAGCTATAGCTAGCTACCCATTGACAGAACACTGAGAGCCAGAAAACACGTGCCTATAATATAGCTACATGAAGATTTCTGGTGTCTGACTTTGATACCTAAAGATTTTCTGGTGTCTGACTTTGATACCTAAACCTACGTACGTACGTCAACCACCAGCTAGCTACTTTCAGTTCCCCAAGCGCAATTTCATGACATATGAAAATTGCGTTTGGAGAACTGAATTATTGCGTGCTTAGGTCCTCGTGAATAGTACACACATATTTTCACATAACACCATCAATGAAAATGCTTCATGTTTCCAAAGCAACGTAGCTAATTGCATACCATAGCTTTAACCCGCCCCATTTTCTCAAAGCTATGGTAGGCAATCAGTTACGTTGCTTTGGAAATGAAGACTTTCATTGATGGTAATATGTGAAAATATTTGTGTACTATTCATAACTGCGTGCGTCTATGGGAGGACATATACTTCTTTAAAAACCGATTTCTTTTGAAGCACACTTTTTTCACTGTCACTGTTGATTAGTCAAGCCTGATGGAATCTTCCTATGTGGTACCGAAGACAACGTTATGCTGAGCGTGCTAGCTACATCCAGTTCCCCAAGCGCAATTTCATGACATAATATAATATGAAAATTGCGTTTGGAGAACTGAATTATTGCGTGCTTAGGTCCTCGTGAATAGTCCACACATATTTTCACATGACGCCATCAATGAAAATGCTTCATGCTACGTAGCTAATTGCATACCATAGCTTAACCCGCCCCTTTTTTTTCAAAGCTATGGTAGGCAATCAATTATTACGTTGCTTTGGAAATGAAGACTTTCATTGGTGGTAATATGTGAAAATATTTGTGTATAATTATTATTATTCATAACTGCGTGGGTCTATGCGAGGACCTAGTCTCGCATACTTCTTGTGCAGACGGCAAAACCGATTTCTTCCGTTGAAGCACACTTTTCTCACTGTCACTGTTGATTAGTCAAGCCTGAGATGGAATCTTCCTATGTGCGACCGAAGACAACTTGTACGGTAGTTGCTGTGCTGAGCGTGCTAGCTACATCCAGTTCCCCAAGCGCAGTTTCATGACATATGAAAATTGCGTTTGGAGAACTGAGTTATTGCGTACTTAGGTCCTCGTGAATAGTACACACATATTTTCACATAACACCATCAATGAAAGTGCTTCATGTTTCCAAAGCAACGTAGCTAATTGCATACCATAGCTTTAACCCGCCCCATTTTCTCAAAGCTATGGTGGGCAATCAGTTACGTTGCTATTATGTGAAAATATTTGTGTACTATTCATAACTGCGTGCGTCTATGCGAGGACCTAGCCTCCCATACTTCTTGCGCAGACGGCAAAACAGATTTCTTCCGTAGAAGCACACTTTTTTCACTGTCACTGTTGATTAGTCAAGCCTGATGGAGTCTTCCTATGTGGTACCGAAAACAACTGGTACGGTAGTTGCTGTGCTGAGCGTGCTTGTGTTGGCCGGGGTACCAAGAATAGGTAAGGAAAAGTTATTAGCTCAAGATCTTTGAAGCGTAACACTGTGTTTTGTCTATAGGTTCGCAATGTGTAGAAACAAGAGTTGCTGAAGTTCATGATACAGGGTTTTTTGGCTGTTCCACGCCTATCATGAGACACGTTCCTCGGTGGAAGATCAACGAGCAGATGTACCTAGTCTCACATCTTCCACCAGAAATCACTCACAACGGATGGCATAACATTTCAATTAGTACAGCGGGCTGTGAAATGAAAGTTACGTGCTTTTTTAGGCTATCTTTCGAATCAAGATTTTCAACATTTATAGTAACACTGTCGAGCCTGTTAGTGCAACATCTTGTGATGGTGAGTTATATACATGGCGGCATAAATAATTATGTTATTACCCTTCAACGGTGCTTCGCCACGGGTACAAGTTTCGGGCATCCGCGTTTGTGTTTTACTAACCCTAGGCGCGCATGCGCAGCTACAGCGAGGGTTGTCAGTTACCGCGACTACGCGTAACGAGACAAGAAAACAGCGATACCAACGGGTATATAGCTACATCGCTACACTGGCTTCATTTTTCACAAAGCGATTTTCGTATAATTATTGTGTTCGAAAGTTATGGCGTGAAAAGCAAGTGAGCAAAACCAATATTAGCACAGGCTTATATACCTCGACCTGGACAGGGTCCGCTTGCTCTGTGTACCTTGGAGGCACAAGAGGTCACAACAAATGGACTCCCGCATGCTATCTACTGCTGTAGCTAGCCAGGTGCTAGCGAGATACTAGCGGGGAGGACAACGATGGATACTAATAGAAAGCCTATCAAGGGGGTAGGGCGCACATTGCGCAGTCGAGGTTCGCAAATCGGGCAGCATTATTATGAGGGTTTGTTTCAGGATTAACCCTCGGCGCGCATGCGCAGCGAGGGTTACGGTGTCTTTCTGTCAGTCTCTTACTCGACATCTCACCCCTCGAGCCATCAATCGCTCCAGAAGAAAACAAGACCACCAATTAGTGATACCATGCATGCGTTTACTTACGCGTGCGCGTCACAATGAGCCGAGGGTTTGCACTTCAGTGCTTTTCATTTTCTTTGCAGATCTGCCCTTTTGTAACGAAGAAAATTTAATATTTGAATATCATGGAGAATTCTTCACGGTTTATATGGGTAGCCAGTCATATGGTGAAAACTGCACAGTATCAGTTACCATTTCAGATTGGCAAAGTAATCAAACTGTTTGTAAGTATCCAGTCTAAAAGAGAATAACACAATGATTGAGTTAGACTCTATGAATATGTTGTATGGAAAAAATGTTGCAGTTACATTTGATAATGATTGTGATCACTGTGAAGAAAACCATTTTTACTTACCTGATATAAAGCTAACAGGTTAGTTTTAACTTCTCTATAGCTATATGAGATGTAGCAATCATTGCTGTGTTTCTGCAGTCAAGTTTGTTTCAAGTAATATGTCAGGAACTATAATAGAAGATCTCTCTAATGACTATTGTGACTTCAACAGTCTCATCATCAACTACAGAATATGCATAAACTCAGGAGGGACAAATCAATGCTTTGAGAATCCATGTGGAAATGGTGAAATCTATACATCACGTTGTGGCAGTGATCCTCCGCAAAGAGTTGTCAGTCTTGAAACTAATGGTGTTGAAAATGGAGCAATCATTTCCATCTTCTGCTTTGGGATTGATTGCAAAGGAAACCCCACTAATGTGATGGTCTTTAACATCAAAATTGGTACGTTTATTAGAGTCAAAATATTTGTTTTAAACTTCTATTCACTTAACATCTAGCAATCTGTGAAGAGGGCAGTATGTGTATAGAAGAGAATCAAACAGGAAATAGTAAGCACTTAAACTTACACAATTAGTACTTTTTGTGTGCATAAGGCTACTGATTGAACTGCATATTCTGCAGCCACGAATATGGCCGGTACGTCTAGTCACCTCCTCAACCTCCTCATGAGACACCTACGGCGATGTCTTCCCCTGGAACTACACAAAGCCCCGGTGATTTAGCTGCTGCTGTTTTTGCAACATTGTGGGCATCACACAGATAACACGTTACCCCCCAAAAAAGAGTGTGGAAGTCTTAAAATAAAAATACTCCCACTGTTCCTGTTATTTTATCCTGACATTATCCATTGCGTCAATGATTGTCCCTCAGTCCTCCACCAACAGGTTGCGATTGCCTGAAATTGAAGGCATGTCCACAGACCATCATACCGAGAAGTTGTGTGGCTATGTCTAATTATGCGCACTTGCAAAGAGTTAAGCCCACGTTGGTTGCCGATTAATCCCTGTATAATGAAAAGCACTAAAGTGCAAACCCTCGGCGAACTGCGGTACCGCTAATGGATGGGACAGTAGTAGATAGCATGTGGGAGTCCATACACATCAGTCATTTTAAATTCTTGTGTCTTCAAGATACATAGAGCAAGCGGACCATAATTTGCATATTGCTTGTTCACTAGCCTTTCACGCCATAACTCTCGAACACAGTACTTTTATGAATAAAGCCAGTGTTGCGCTAGTTGTCTCGTTGCGTGTGGTGACAGAAAACATGGTAACAGACAGACAGACAGACGGACGGACAAAGTACCGTAACCCTCGCTACGCATGCGCACCGAGGGTTAATTATACATCCCAAAGTGCACAGATACACTCAGACCCTTTTCCCCTCGCATTTTTCAGGAGAGAGGGGAAGAAAGGTCTGACGACCTAAGACATCTAATGTACTATGGCCCCCCTTCCCATCCATCCCTTCCTCTGTTACAGCAGGACTAGTGGTGGGGGTAGTAGGAGGAAGTGTCATGATACGGGTTGTACTGGTTCACATTGTCATCGGCATCATCATCTTCCTCCTCAAGATTAAACGTGAGAAACATCTGCGTAAGCATTATGTAATAATTTGCAAACTACGGTATGTATAGGCCAACCCATGGGTTTGGAAGGTATACAAGTGGAAATCATTTCTTCAAAATGAAGGGGGATATAGGGATGGCTTGAAGCACCAAAAAAAGGAAGAAACGATGGGTCATTACACAGCAAAGATGCACAAAGCTACATGACACCATCCCTATAACTTTGTTTCATATTAAACTTTGCTTATATCAACAATAAAACAAAGATATAGGGATGGTATCATGTAGCTTTGTGCATCTTTGCTGTGTAATGACCCCTTGTTTCTTCCTTTTTGGTGCTTCAAGCCATACATATAATATCCCCTTCTTTTTTTATTTTTCCACTCTAGTTTTAACAGCTTATGACAACACTGCATTTTCAGTCACTTTACTGTTCATGGGTATGTTGTAGAGAGGTTGACCATGGACAAACTATAACTGTTGAAAGCAGTATATAGCTAATGGCCTGCTGGTATATTGTTGCTGGCATGTTTTCAAAAAGCAAGAACTTGACCCTGAAGGAGAGTAGGGAAAACTAAAGGTGAAAAATTTTTATATATACCTCTTACACTATGTTCTGAGCCTGAACATTTCTGGCGAGGCAGTGTGTGAACATTTTTTGGGATAAAAAAGCCGTGCATGCGCACTTTCACGACGTACGGACGACGTTTACGTACTCGGATGGCAAATCCGCTCCAGCGAACGACTAGCTCCCGCTCCCCAATTAAAGACGAAGACCACGTAGGCGCCCTATGCGCTTCTGGTCCTACCCTCGCCCCTGAACCAAACGATAGTCTGATCAGCGTCAGCTCACAGAGCGTGTGAAAGAGACCCTATTCTGGTGCCACTTGGCTTCCAATTGGACGTTTTACGAAAAATTACAGAATGGCTCAGACCACATAGTGGTTGCCAGCTATTCTGGATATTATGAAGAAGGTGACGTCGAGCATATAAATGTGTTTGGCCTAGTTTTCTAACTCAGACAGCTAGTTTGTAGGTAATTTTTTTATTTTTTATGATCAGGGTTACCCTTTCCGCCTGAAAAAAAGGCGGGCCCGCGTTAGTATAAATAGGCTCCGCATTTCTGGCTCATCGGCCTTTATTTATAGCGAGCGGTCAAAGTCGACCCATGTAGTATTGTAGTAATAGATACTAATGAGCTCTACGTCTCAAGACTCAGCAATTTGCATGAGTACTTAATATCTCATGTGGAGAATGGAATAGAATGATCTGCAGTAAAATGTGGTGCTTTTATACAAAAAGGGTGAGATGTGGGTGAAACATCTATATAGAAGGTTCTAGACTAGATGATGTATAAGAGGATAATTATGATATAAGATCCTGCCTAGAAGGTGCAAATAGTAAATACATAATGATCATATAGATGATCACGTAACCTATAAATAAGTTAGTCTGTTGAACTATAAATATCTTGCATCTAAATATACTACATTCCTCCTCCGCTTGATTAGAAGTTCAATGTTCA